TTTTGAGTACAATAAAAGTGATAATAGTAATTTTTTTATATTCTAATACGTGAGAAATTGTAAATGCTATGCCCTAGTGGTAAGTTTAAAAGGCCTAGCCTGAAGTAATGTGATAAACAGTTCCAGGCTAGGTGTTTTTTAGCCGATAGTCTGGAGACATTGAGCCCGCGGGAGTCCGGCACTACTTTATTGAGCATCTCAGTGTGCGTAAATGCATTTTTACCTCCTTCCTAAAAAAAAGAAAAAACAAAATAAATGACTTTTTCACGTTATTATTTCGATTTTTGTGTTTCATTGTTACTGCAGGAAACATGTGTAATGTGAGGGTAAAATTCCCTTCGTGCACTCGAACAACCAACATTTAAACTGTTTCAAAAATTACTGAAAAAAATAGCAACGCAAAAATATTTATGTGTGGAATTGCTATGAATTGTACGAACTGTTTCCCTGTGAAGGAAACTGACGAATATTTGTACATAATTACGTTATTTTATAATAAATATGTTGCAAATGGTGAATGTTTATATTATTGCGCAACAGTAATTCACAGTTGGATGCCAATGTCCTTAGTGTGCTTGAGTTTATAAATAATATTGTGATTTGGTTCTCATTCGAGACTGATGACCTATATTTAATGTTTCAGTACATGGTACTAAATACAAATGATCTGGACATAGTCTAAGGAGTTATCACACGTTTCAATACACGTCTATTCAGTTTTCACCAAACAAGATTTTTCCAAATACATCCTTAAATTATTTATACTTTTATGCTACCACATACTAATAAATTTATTTACCAATTTTTTATTAGCACAGGTTAACAGATTTTCTTTCACTTAATTTATTAACGACCAGAAGAAGCTTTGTAGATAATCCACTTAACTACTTAGCACAAATCCTGTTTCGTCGACAAATCTTTTCAGCTTAAATGTTTCCTTTGGACTAAAAAACCTCTTGAATAGGTAATTTCATTAGTGAATGATTAATATCATGGAAGGTTACGCCGGGTCCGGATCTTACTAATCTATTGCGAAAGCTGCGATGAATACAGCCTCTTGAATGCAGCTGATGAACTCTTTATGAAACTTCTTACAAAGAAATAGTGTGATTTGTGATAGCTTGTACAGGTAATTTTGTTAATTGTAATGATAAATAATCCCAGGCCAAACAGACCATATGTTGCAATTTCATAGACAAAGGTAGTATCGTGACTTCTCACTGTGTTTGAAAGCATTATTTTGAAGCTTTTTTTGTAGCCTGGCTGACGTATGGTTACACTTGCTCCCACAAAATGATCATTACACATCTATCACTCATTTCATTTCAATCAAAACTTTTTATACCCAAACCATTATTTTTAATGTACTGTATTTTCTTTTTCTTTTTTATCAAACATCTTTTCAAATATCAAAATACACCAATTAAGGTAATTAAAAGACTATAACAACCAAGCAGACGCACAAGCAGATTTTGTGTCTATGTCTGCTGATTCCACATACCTAATTAAAAGTTGTTGAACTAGCTAAAAATTTTTAAAGTTTATTAATTTTTAATGGTTTTCAATTTTTTTATTTAAAATTAAGATTTACAAAGTAGTATTTTTTTGTGTATATTCATGTATACTTTTTGTTTGTTAAATATTTTTGTTGTAAAAATTTAAAACATTTGTACCATGTAGCAATTTTGTAGAATAAACATTTCATTCATAAAATATTATAAAAGCCAAACCTATTAAAGTTATGATTATTAAGACCTATGTAAGAGCTTGAGAACAACTTAAAAGGGATGTGTCTATATGGATACAAGTGGAAAATATTTTAAGTAAAACATAATAAATATTGAATCAGTTTGTCAACATGTAACAAATTAAAACCTGTTAGAGACTGTTGATTTAGAATGGTTTAGAGGTGTCAGAATGCATTTTTTAAATGAACTATTTTTAAGCAGCTGTTAAGTGACACAAATGAACCCTGTGTTACCAAAACATTTTAAAACTACACAGTTATCAGGATAAGGTATAGACGCCATGCATGGCACGTTTAGACTGATGTGATCTAATAATGTCGTAACAAGACTCTGTTGGTAGATTATTATCTTGTGTATTACGATTGTCAACATTTACTTGATCCGAACATGTTTTATAATAATGGGAAACGACAACCTTGTGTTTGCTAATTTGCATTAAAATAATATAAATTGCAACCCTGCTTATATAACTTGTACTAACACAATTGAAATTTCACCTTACTGAATCCCAACATAACATATTAAGGGGAGTCGCTACTGAAATATTACCAATTTTGTAAAAAACATGATTTTTTTATTATTTTTTTATCTTGTTCTATGGATTGTAAGGATTCAGAAAAACATAAAATTTGGTATGTAATATATATTTTTATCACAGTAAAAAAATATTTGAAGTGAAGCGTGCACACCTCTTTTGGGGCATTAACTAGGCCTAGTATAAACTTCAACCGCTGTTTTCCGCGACTTTGTTTTTGTTTTTTTTTTTATATAAGTTCTTATAACTTTTTAACTATTACAGCTATATGAAAGAAATTTTTACCACACATTGTTTATACTATAAATAAACTTTCTGTGCGTGGATATTGTAATTGGGTAAATAAAAGTACATGAAAAAAATTATAAAAACGTATTACCTATAAATTTTTCTAAAACTTATTTTTGAAGCCATAACTTATAAACTAATTGAGAAAATAACATGAGTATGCACAGAAAGTTTATACTTTCTTTGCTCTTTAAAATGAGATATCAAACAATAAAATTGGTTCAGTAGTTAAATAGTTATAAGAGATTAAAAAAACCCATTTTTCCCCGCCAAAAAACTTTAAAAACTCCAAAAAGTATGTAAAAATTTTTTTTACTTTAACAGCAGTAAATCGTTTTCTAAGACTAAATGAACTTAAAAAAGTATATATGATAATTTTTAAAAGGATTTTTTTTAAATCACTAGTTTCAGTAGCGACTCCCGTTAACAAATAACATGTAATATTATGTTTCTTATTCATATTGGAAAAAAACCTATATCAATATAATAACAAGCTATGGAATAGAAAGTAAATAATTACAGTGGAACATTAAATATAGTTGCTTAAATTCTATTCTAAAAAAGTCTTAAATGTAAGACACACAAAGTAAAAAACCAAAAACTAGCAACATAATGATGTTTGTAGTTAAAAAATGAGGGTTGCGAAAATGCTCACAAAGTAGAAGCTGATATAGCTTCGTCATGTGGGATGAGCATGCTTACCTTCTCATTTCCTACATGTCAAAGTCGAGACAGCTACTCGCAGCTTCGGGCTCGCTCTATCGACTCACGTTGAAAAAATCCCAATATTTACTAACAGCTCCATACCAAAGTACAATCGGTGGATTTATTTTAAACTTTTAAGTAAATCCCCACCGTGTATGTAGGTTTTTGTATACTGTATACCTATTATGGGTTTTAACGGTATATCCTGGTTTAAAAATTTAAAACCCATGAATTTTAAGGTGGTATGGTGCAAGTTTGTAACTATAATTTAAAACTACTCGTATTTGATGGATGGGACCTTTTCCGTTAATTTACAACCACTAGTTTTTACAGCAATATATGTGGTAGCGAAATAAACTTTAGTTAGGTTAGGTTATGTTAGGTTAGTATAGAGTTAGAAAAACCTTACCTAACCTAACCACATTCCACTAGTGGTAGTGAATTAAAGGTCCGATGGATGTAATGAGTTTCAGTTTGCAAACTATTTATTTATGCTTTCCAATATCTTTGCGACAATATATTAAATGGTGTCAATCCTTTCAACTGGAAAACCCATAGATGCTCTATAGTTGGTTGCTACAGTGTTTGTGTTGTCCGATGACGTAATGGGTCAGAGTTTTTGTTGTTGTCAGGTTGTCAGGTTTCTGGGTAGCCCAAATGTTCGCTGCAAAGTTCGTCCTGTTGTTCGTCTGTTCGGCTTCTAAGTCGTCTCCGTGTCCTGTTGTTCTAAAGCATTTTTGTTGTTGTTGTCAGGTTTTCTGGTGGATCGATGGTTCATTGATCCAGTGTTCCTGTTATTTATAATAGTCCTGTTGTTCGATAGTACATTAATCCGATCTTGCGTCGCTTGGTGGTCTTAATGAATAATTTGTTTTGCTGTCCGGTTGTCTAGTTGTCGGGTGGTTATATTGTCTAGTTGTCCAATATGTTATGGATTGATCGAGGTTGTAGGTTAGTTCGGAGTTGAGTGTGGAAACTGGTATGAGATTTGGTTGCCTAAATATCTTACTTTATGGTTGTCCTGTTCTCTAGTTATCTGGTTGTCCTGCTTTCTAGAGTAGTTGATTGGTTGTCAGGTTATCCTATTGTATATTTATCCAGTAATCATAGTGTCTAGTTAACCTGTTGTTCAGCACGTGAGCCTGGTTCATAGTTATAAATGTTCAGTCGTCGGGTTGTCGCATTGAATGGTTTGCTGTAGCTATGTTGCCTGGTCTGGCTGTGCGGTAGTTTGTCGTTTTTATTTGTCCGGCTATTTTCACTGCAAGTGTAGCTAGGTGGTTGTCCTGTTATCTGATTATATATGGTTGTCTGATTGTTTAGTTGGTCAGTTGTGTAGATTTCCGGTTGTATGGTTGTCTATATTATAGTTCTCTGGTTGTCTTTATTCTAGTTGTCTAGTTATTTTTGTCAAATTGTATGGTAGCCTGGTTCTCGTGTTGACTGGTAATATGGTTGTCCTGTTGGCTTGATTGTAGTAGGCTTCATTTGACCTGTTGTCAGTTTGTCGTATCTTATGGTTGTCTGGCCGTTCGTTCGGTTGTGTGCTTGACCAGTTGTCTTGTTTTCTATGAGTCCGATTGTCTAGTTGTCCGGTTGCTGGTCGCCTGGTGGTCTCGTTGTCCGGTGGTCCGCCGGCCCGCGGCTCGACGGAGGTTGTTGGTGGGGGACCGTTACCTCTCTAGCGTAGGCTTACCACTCAACTCAGTCAGTCCACACACAGCACAGCTACACAGCTGCACGGCTCAGCAAACTAGAGTCATCACTCTCGTGGCTGGAGTCTGAGTCTGCGTCTGCGTCTGCGACCGAGACATGACATTGTTTGTGCGACTACATTCTGTTTTTAGTTCCGGTTCGTGTCAATTTTACAACGGTTTTGAGCAGTTTTATCCGTGTTAGAATGTCAATTTCAGAAAGTGATAGCAAACTCTGTTGATTTCTGCTGGACATAGCCGTCGTTTATTCTACTTGCCAGTCTGATTCTGTAAGTAATAGTATATTAGCGTTTCTATTTGTGTGTAAGGGTATTTAGATTTTTTTGCAATTCTCATTTTTATGGCATGACAATAGTTGTTTGTTATGTTTGATGGTTTATTTTCAAAGCATTTACGCTGCTTTGGCATATTTTGTTTGCCTTAAGAATTGTTTGTTTTTATTTTCATTATTCGCTGTATGGCTAAAAGAATATTCATTCCGCTTAAAATTGTTAAAATAAAGCTGTAATGGAAAGATTAAAAAGAGCCCATTATTGCAATATGCAATAATTAAATTAACATATTTGTCGGACAGTACTTAATTTGTTACTACAACGTTTAAATTAGTGTTTAACATTAAACTCTTTGTCAATCAGTTAAATAATAATAAGAATATTTTATCATGGAAGAAGTCTTTAAATTCTATTGTAAAAAGTAATAAATGAAGATATTTTTAAGTTGTTCTTAAAGCCATACAGCTGTGTGGGGGGAGTGAATGAGTTGAATACTTTGTCCATGGAATTAAGACGTGTTTGCTTATCTAGATATAATATAAGAGTGTTCTTCAGACCTCCGACTTGTGTAAGGACAGTCTAGAACATTCCTCGATGTATTTCTCAAAGTAGAACTGAACCTAACCAGTTCTTATTGACTCCCGAGCCGGCGCAGCCTCCGACGGGAACATGATAGAATATTTTGCGACCGAGAAACGAACTTGCCATAATCTTACAATGTTCTTTACCTCGTCAACATATAAAATCAAATCTTTGCTTATTTGGTGTCAGCCATTTTCCTCACAAACTCTTTTTAAACTCCTCAATGTATTCGGGAAATGTGGATTTAGATTTTATAACAAATTATCGTGTTGCAGAAAAATATATCTTGGCATCTATTGAGCAAAGTGGCACTTTTTTGAGCGATAATTTTATCGAGTAAACACACTTTGACCATGATTTGAACATTACACTTTGTACTCAGATTTTGTATGTAACAACCTCAAAAATATTAAATACTCAACAAATGTACGTACAACATCGTGATTAGGATTTTCGTGACATATATGAATGAATAATGTCATTCATTGCTATCCTCAAAATTCGGCTAACTAAATTCACCTCATAATACTAATTGTCATCAACCTACCCACTAGCCTAATTCCAGTTTTGTCAAACTAAAACCTTAACAGGGTCTTTATTCAACACGTTGAGTCTTCTTTATCCTTCAAGCCCCATTATTTAAAATAAATCTACCACGATTATTATTGGGTTTACTTTATAAACGATTAAACAAATCAAGCAGCTCTAATAGGAAAAACCGATATAATTTATTCTGTTTGCATGCTTTTTAAACCTAAGTTGGCGTTGGCTATTTAGTCCAGTTTTCAATAAACTTCGTTTTGTGGTAAAATGTACGTATTCGTGTAGGTACTCATGGTTGTTGGTTTCACCACATTATGAAAGTAACACAACTGCACAGACAATAACATACAAGGGGAAACATAGTCTATAGGCAAGAAAAAGGTTTAGGCCAGAAAGTCCCCACCTAACTAGATTTTCTCAATATTTAGTCTATAAACTTTCTTGTCATAAAATACAATAAGTAGCCAAATTGTATGAACTATAATCTATCAATTTGTGGACGTGGAATTTGTTTATTTGTGTCTCCATTCTATTTAAAAATCTTTCAAACAAGTTAAAAATGCATAAGATATCTAAAAATAGTAATTGCACATGTATCAGTAATGATATCGCCCATGAAGATTAACCTTATTGCCTTGCGTCATATTTGAGAGATCAAATAAATAAAGCTTATTCTGATTCACTAAGCTTGTTATAAATCATTACTGAGAAGTAAAAGAAACTAAAATCGTGTTGCTTTATGATTATACCTAGCTAGAGTTGAATGATTTTTCAATGATTTACGTTCCAACCAAAATAATGAGTGTTGGATTACAGGCCAGAATAATAAGTTTATGTATTTTAATATGAATTTAAATAAATCATACGTGAACTACTATCCCTTTACTAAGATTTCGAAGTTTATACGATTATAAATAATTTATTTGACTTAAAATACATACTGAGTTGCCTTAGTGGAAGTAAATATCTCGAATTGTTAACAATAAAACATGAGTTTATTCTAAATTGAAGTATTAGGCTGTAAGAAAAGAGTTGCAATATGAACTCGTAGGATACACAAACCACACCGACTAATGATTAATAATTCTTTATTAGGTAAGGAAGTTATGGAAATATTTCAAAAGCATTGGATCAATTAATTGGATTTAAATGGAAATTAATCATAGTTTATTCACGTTATAACGATACAGTTAATGATTCAAAATGTTTGTGAAGTGGGATCCATTTGTGAATGTAACTACTGTACATTTTAGCTGAGTAGTAATGGTTTCTCTTTAATCAATAATTCTGCTTGGCGTTTATACTAAAGCTTTTTTATATATTTCTTTCCCGTTTGCGATTAACTTATAGGATGTTTTCTGATACGAAAATTATTGTAGGCCACCTCTAAAATATATTCTTGCAAAATTTACAATGATCTTAATATAAAGATTGCATGATTCGGTATTCATTAAATTAATGTACGAATAAATACATTTTTCATATATCGTTGTAACATGTCAAAAGCTTGGTTTATTTATCTGCTATGGATTCTGTAAATTAAATACCAAATGCCATTTGGGGGAATTTGAGTACCAAATAAAATAAATTAACTGAACTCTCAATGCATACAGGAGGACCGAATTAAGATTGGCCTTATCACATTTTGAAACCATTTAGGCCATAATACATCTGTCTTGCTACAAACCTTTTCTTAAACTAGCTGTGCTAGGCTCCAAGTAATGTTTAAATTGACCATGTTTAACTGTTTTTAGGAAAGTAAGTTATGTGAATGGTGATGCAATAATGTTGGTAACGACTAACTCTTCTGATTTTTCAAAGAACAAAAATTAGTTTGACCATAAGTATTTTACAAAAGGACGGTTTTAAAATCACAAAAAAAACGTTTTAGTACGAATTACAATCAAACGCAAAGTTATGTTTTTATTTTTCAACTACCTCAGCCGTCTTGCATCGTAGTTATTTTACTTTCCAACCCAGAAATGAGCAATAATTCTAAGCGATTATAAAGGTGCAGTTTTACAGGCACAGTGGTTGATTACATACATTGGAAGCAATCGCAGTTTTTCAAAGCTGCAATCGAGTTTTGTAAACTGCCATGAATGAGTCAAGCTTTAGACCATGACTAAATGCAAATAAGTACGAGATAAGAAACCAGTTAGGTACTGCTTCTTTGTTGTCGAACTGGCCAGACATATCAAACGGCATTTATAGCCTATGTTTACAATAATATCTTTAGATACAGAAATATGTGCCGATAGCACAATATAGGTTTAACATACTCAACCACTTTTGTGTTCAGTTTTTAAAGTTACCTTCCTATTAGTTCCTTCAGAATGACAAATTAAGCTTTGTTTTGATTTATGGGGATGTTATTGTTGAATAATTAGTAAAGATTTGCAATTTATTTGAATCAAAACACAATTACTTTTTGGATGTTCTGCATACTATTTAATTAGTAGAGTTGTATTTTGGATTATTTTTGTAAGGTTTGAACTAATGCCTTAATGGCAGTTGATGATGTCAAAGAATAAAAGAATAATTACAAGGGTACTGAGCAATGAAGATGAGAATTATTTTAAACAAATTTGTAAAAATCGTTATATGTTTATTTATTATAAAACGATTTAAAGTTGAGTAAATTTTTTGCAACAGAAACTCCAAAACCAGTAAAAATAAGAGGTCATACAAAATAGAGATATATAGATAATAAGAGGTCCTTAAACATTCTTTAATATAAAGGGGTTCTCGAAAGTCTTGATCGTTGTGTTGTTTGTGAGCGTTATGATTGTGATCGATGCAGAAACTAATAACATGAGGGAACGATCTAAAGAAAGGACTTTACAGCCATAAGGAGAAACAACTGCACTCATGGCTATTTACAACTAGCCCTACTAACTATTTATACATGCAAGACAAATGCAGGGTGGGATGTATTCAGGATCATCTAACAGTCGTTATGGACCTTAAAAATATTCAAATAAGGTCTCGCAATACCGAAGGAGCGGAAGAGCCAGCAAGGGAGGAGCTTCATGACGTGGGTTGAAAGGTCGACCAACTATGTAGCTTTCCGAATACACCATTATTAGTTGAAAGTTCAAGAACACTGCAAATGAAGCTTCAGAAACTGCATGAGTGGGAGACACGCTAAGCTTCCCTCTTCTCTCTTTTTGACTTTGGTCAATTTGGTTTATTTAACGTTGGCCCTTGGAAGAATATTTCTATTTTGTTTATTGTAAATCATTGCTTATCAATATATTGATTTAGATAGGTTGAACAACAGCAAAATGTATCTTTTAAGTATGGTGTTATATCATGTTTTCTTATCCGTTCATCACTTGTTTGTACATTACTATAATGCCGTACCATTTAAGATCAGTTTGGGAACTTAATAAGGTTGTATCTGTGGCATTGGTCAATCTGTTACTGGATACCAAATCACGCGTCTACTTTCGACTTAAAATTGAATTTCATCCCAAAGATTATACATATATTTTTTCAAAACTAAGAATGAAGTAGCAAGCACATGGCATTTTCCCAAACATGTTTTATTAATAAAGCTAAGAAATAATGCATGGATATTGGTTGGTACAGATGGAAATATTTTACTTTTTTAATCATTACACTTAATAGTGATGATATATGCTCAATGACGGATTTTAGTGTTATTAATTTGCCATAAGTGTAAGAGATGCTTATCACAGTAAACAAATTCATACATTACAGGAATGAAAACCGAACAAAACAATCAGGTTGATTTAAAAAAATGGGTTAGTCATTTCCCAACAAAAGAATAGGCTTATTACATGTTCTAATCGGTATCGGTTATATAATATTTACTATGTTTACTGAAGGACGTTACATCGTTAGTC